ATCCATTTCATCGAAGGTCTTCCTCTCCTTTGCCGCCCTTCCACTCTGCCAAACATGATGTCCCTCTCCAAGGACCAGTCCCTCCTTGCAACATGCCCAAAGTATGTCAGACGAAGCTTCAGAATCCTTGATTCCAAGGAGCATTCTGGCTTCACCTTCTCCAGGACAAACCTGTTTGTTCGCCTAGCAGTCCATGGTATAGTCAACACTCTTCTCCAGCACCACAGCTCAAAAGCATAAATTCTCTTTCTATCAACCCTATTCACTGTCCAACTCTCTGATGCATAGCATGTAATTGCATAGACTATAGCCCTGATCAGGCGCACCTTAGTCTCCAGCCTGATATCGTTGCTCTTCAGTACTCTTGAGAGGTCACTCACAGCCGACTTTCCCAATGCAATTCGTCTCTTGATTTTCTGGCTGCTGTTACCAAGAGTGTTGATTGTGGAGCCAAGCAAACTAAAACATTAACTATCTCAATCTCTTCACCATCCATACTGATGCTGCCAATTGGTCCAGTGGTAAGAATCTTTGTTTTCTTGATGTTGAGCTTCAATCCATATAGAAGGCTGCAGTCGACCTTCTGCAGCAAGTGCTTCAGGTCCTCCTCAGTTTCAGCAAGCAGGGTTGTGTCATCTGCATAACACAGGTTGTTGATGACTCTTCCACCAATCCTGATGCCACATTCCTCTTTGTACAGCCTAGCATCTCAGATGATCTGTTCTGCATACAGATTGAAAAGGTATGAAGACTGAATACATCCTTGACAGACCCCGTTCTTGATTTTGAACCGTGTAGTGTCTCCTTGCTCTTTTCTGACGACTGCCTCTTGGTCCAAGTATAGGTTTCAAATTATCACAATCAAATGTTCTGGGATTCCTAGTCTTCTCAGAGTCAACCACAGCTTACTGTGATCCACACAGTCAAAAGCCTTTGCATAGTCAATGAAGCACAGATAGACATTCTTCTGGTATTCTCTGCTTTCCGCCAAGATCCATCTAACATTAGCTATAATATCCCTAGTACCGCAACCTCTTCTAAATCCAGCCTGTACATCTGGCAATTTTCTGTTGACATATTGTTCCAAACATTTTTGGATAATTTTCAGCAGAATCTTGCTTGCATGTGATATTAATGGTATTGTTTGATAATTTCCGCACTCTGTTGGGTCACCTTTCTTTGGAATGGGAACAAATATCGATCTTTTCCAGTCAGTGGGCCAGCTGGCTGTTCTCCAGATTTCTTGGCACAACTTAGTGAGCACATCCAGGGCATTGTCTGTCTGTTGAAATATGTCAGTTGGTATGTCGTCAACTCCTGGAGCCTGGTTTTTTGCCAGTTCCTTCAGAGCAATTTGAACTTCCTCCTTCATCACCATAGGCTCTTGCTCAAATGTGATTTCTTGAAATCCTTCTGTGTCAGCCAATTCCTTCTGATATAGTGACTCTGTGTATTCCTTCCATCTTTTCTTGATACTTCCTGGATCATTTAACATTCTACCCAAAGTATCTTTAAGTATTGCCACCCGTGACTTGAATTTGTTTTTCGGCTCCTTCAGCTTAAGAAACACTGAGTGAGTTTGGCCCTTTTGATTTTGTGACTCCAGCTCTCTGCACATTTCATTATAGTATCTTGCTTTGTCGTCCCAGGCTGCCTTTTGAAATTTTCTGTTTAGCTCTTTGATTTCTTGGTTTCTTCCTTTAACTTTGGCTTCTCGGCACTCTAACACAATATTCAGAGTCTTATCTGACATCCATCTTGGTCTTTTCTTCTTTTTCAGCCTTTGCATTCTTTTCATCTTTTGCATTTTTCATGGTTTTCTTCATTCTTTTCTTTTTTTTTCTTTTCATGATTTTCTTTATATCCTCCCAGAGCTCATTTGGCCTATGCTCATTGGTGCTCAAGGACTCAAACCTGTTCTTGAGATGGTTTTGAAATTCAAGTGGGATAGACTTAAAATCTAATTTTGGTTCCCGTGGACTTGATTTAATTTTCCTCAACTTCAGCTTGAACTTGCATATGACTAGTTGGTGGTCTGTGCCACAATCAGCACCCAGCCTGGTTTTCACTCCTGATTTTGAGCTTCTCCACCGAGTCTTTCCACAAATGTAATCTATTTGATTCCTATGCATGCCATCAGGTGAGATCCATGTGTATAGCCTGCGTTTGAATTTGAATGTGCAGAACTCTATCATTCTGTCTCCAGCCTCATTTCTCTCACCAAGCCCATGATACTAAAAAAAAAAGAACATTGAGTTCTGTCTTAGCATCGACAGTATTTATCTCAGTATTTAAGCCATTAGCATGTAATGCAAATACTGTCATATTGTTGTTATTGATTGCCTTCGAGTTGAGCACGACTCATAGTAACCCTGTGAACAAAAGCCTGAAGCCCCTCTACAACCATTAACATTTATCAAAGTTCATAGAGTTTCCAGAGGCATGTTGTTTAGGAAGTGGATGTCACTCCTTCTACTCTCATAATCGTCTTAATGTTAAAGAGTTTTGTAAATCATCTTGCTCTTTTGGAGACTGGGTGTTAGCCTTTAGTAAGAAATGTGCATTTTGAGGGGAGCTCTGGTGGCCTAGTGGCAAGGAGCTGCAACTACAATCTCAGAGGCTCAAGGTTCGAATCCACCAGATGCTCTGCGGGGGAAGGAAGGGCAGTCTCCTCCTGTACCAGTCAGATCTGATCTGATGGTACACTCACACAAAAAAATAATAAAAAATTAAAAAAAAAGAAATGTGCATTTTGATTTTGATGTCAATTCTAGGAAAAAATCTCTTCATCCTAGGATATAGACTTTATGGACTGCTGGAAATTTTATTGGAAAACTTTGAGTATTAAAAACCCCTTTAAACTAGGAGAGATTGTTGCTGTTGTTGTTACATACTATCAAATTGGAACCAACCCATAGCTGACCCTCCACCGAGTTTTCAGAGACAGTACATCACACGAGAGGAGATTGTCCATCCCTCTCTCAGGGAGCAGCTGGTGGATTCAAACCATGTGCCTTTGCGATTGCAGCACAGCTTCTCACCACTAGGCCACCAGAGCTCAGGTGAGATTAAAACTCCAAACTCTCTCTCCTCGGAAGTGGGCAACTGCTGACATCCACATCTAGTTCTATCACCTTTCCAGTTGGTTTTATCCCTCTGGTCTCCTGGGAGCCTTGTCCAGTTCAAGGACGCTCCAAAGATTATGCAGAGTTCACTCGTGCTTGTGGCATTCTACTGTTTCCCCCTCAACTTCCTGTTTTCTTGGTAGTCTAGACCAGACTAGCTTTCTGCTTGTGTTCTCTATGCCAGGCTGAGGGGACTGGACGTACCATGCATGGAAATAAAACATCAAAATATAGTCATATGCCACTGAGTCGACAGCAACTCATAGCGACCCTATGAACAGTGGATCTTACCTTGGCCTTATCCTGAGCCGTCCTCATCATCTGACACACTTAAACCCATTGCTGCAGTCACTGTGTCAATCCATCTCATTGAGGGTCTTCCTCTCTTTCACTGACCCTCTATCTTTCTAAGCATGATGTCCTTTTCCTAGGACTGGCCCCTTCTAACAGTATGCCCAAGATATGTGAGAAAACCCTTCACAATCTTTGCCTCCAAAGAGCACTCAGATTCAACTATCTCCAGGACATATTTGTTCTTTTGCTAGTCAGTGGGATATGCAGTATTCTTCTGCAACACCACAGCTCAAAGGTGTCGATCCTTCTGTCATCCATAGTCATGGTCCAACTTTCCGATGCAATGAATACCTTCAGTTTCCTCACTACTCTGCATCACTTTCTATTACTTTCCATTTTTATAATTGATGTTTTACATTCTACTTAGTGCTAGTCCGATACAAGGAGTGCAGCATCAGTATTGGAGGGAGACTCATCAATAATCTATGTTACACAGATGACACAATCTTGCTTGCGGAAAGTGAGGAGGACTTGAAGCACTTGTTGCAGAAGATCAAGGAATACATCCTTCGGTATGAACTGGATCTCAATGTCAAGAAAACGAAGATTCACTGGACCAATAAGCAGCATCATGATGGATGGAGAGGAGATTGTAACTGTCAACAGCTTCATCTTGCTGGGATCCACAATTAACACCCTTGGTATGAGCAGTCAGGAAATAAGGAGACACATTGCACTGGGAAAGTGTGCAGTTAGGGACCTTTCCAAATTATTGAGGAGTAATGATGTCAGTTTGAGGACTAACATACATCTGATTCAGGCCATAGTCTTTCTCATTACCAGCTATACATCTGAGACCTGGACAGTGAATAAGGATGACGGGAAAAGAATTAACGTCTTTGAGCTCTCATGTTGGAGAAGAGTACTGAACAGCCTGTGGACAGCCAAGAGGACAAACAGATATATCTTGGAGAGGGTGCAGCTGGAGTGCTCTTTGGAGGCAAGAATGATGAGGCTTCATCTCACATACTTTGGAAATGTTGCTAGGAGGGGCTATTCCTTGGAGAAGGACATGATGTTGGGAAGGGTGGAGGATCAGCGAAGGCGAGAAAGACCCTTAACCAGGTGAATTGATACAGTGACTGCTGCAATGGGTTCTTGTGTGTCAGAAAGTGTGAAGATGGCATGGGATAGAGCAGCATACCGACCTTTTGTTCATAGGGTCACTATAAGTCGTGCTCGACTCAATGGCAACTAACAACCGTCCAATACAAGGGACCTCTGGTGGCCTAGTGGTAAGAAGCTGTGCTGCAATCCCAAATACGTGGTTCAAGGTCACCAGCCACTCCACGAGAGAAGGATGAGCAATCTCCCCGCCCCCACGTGCTATCAGCTGCCTCTAAAAACCTATCAGCATGTCAGCTATGGGTCGGTTGCAACTCTAATGTACACAGCAATAACAGTCCAATCCAAGTTACCATCTATCTCTGCCTCCTTCAGTCTCTTCTGTGTTTCTGTTTCTGCCCTGACCTCCATCCTCCTCCCCTCCCTTAACATTTCTATCTCTGTCTCTCCTTTCAGGGAGAACCTGGCCCCAAAGGAGACCCTGGTGAGACAAGCCACCGGGTAAGCTCTGGCCTGGCACTGGCCTCTCTGTCCCCTCCCACCCTGTCACCACTGGGCCCTGGGGGTGGGCCTGTCCCATCCACATCCTCATTGCAACCTGGTCTCCAAGGGAGGAGTCTTAGCATATCCCAGCCCCAGCTGCCCCTCCCAGCTGGGCAGGGCCAGTCCTATCAGCAAACCCCATCCATGCTCTCTGTCTCTGTCTTTGTTCCTATCTCTGCCTTCCCCCCTGTGGCCTTCACAGGCCAAGGGGACTTTGCCTGTCCTTACTGGAACCTTTAGGCTGTTCCTGGCCAGATTGTCCCACTACCTCCAAAGCTCTCTCCCTAAAAAGGACTTCTGATGTCTGTTCCTCTCCATGGAAATCCACACCACAGAAAGAGACAAGGCACCATAGGAACCCAGTGGTAAAAGAGACAAGGGCACCTCAATACCACCATATACAGGAAGCCCATAAAGTTTGGGAAGAGACGCCTAGAAATTGTACATACTTGTGCATGATAATGAGGTCAGGATACCTAGACACCCCCTCTCCCAATTTACACTCAAGAATTAAATGAGATCTTAGATACCATCACCTACATGGGAGACACATCTAAAATGGGAAGGGAGACCTAGAAACTGTCACACATGGGAGAACCATGGAAGATGGGTGGAGGAGTTAGACACCACCATACACAGAGGAAGGCTAAGAAGAATGGGAAAGGAGGCCTAGAAACTGTCACACACAGAGGAGAACCATGGAAAATTGGTGGGAGCACTAGACACCACCATACACAGAGGAACACTAAGGAGAATGGGAAGGGAGCTCTAGAAATTGTCACACACAGAAAAACCATGAAAGGTGGGTGGGGAAGCGACACTACCATACACAAAGGAAGCCTAAGAAGAATGGGACGGGAGGCCTAGAAACTGTCACATACACCGGAGATTTGGAGGAAGGCTGAGGGCCGCCTAGAAACTGTAACCCCAAGAGTCTCATGATTTATGTGGGGTCCTAGAAACCATCACCATCATGGAAGAGGGTTGCAGTAAATGCACCATGGGCCCTAGAAACCTATACTTACTTAAGAGACACATAAGGAGGGGTAACAGGAACTTTCCCATTAGCAGGGACCTGGACATCAGGGAAGATTTAGGAAATGGCTGGTGCTTGAAAAGCAGACATCCCTAAAGGAGAGACAACTAGGAATCTCTGTTAAAGGGGGACACTTTGCCTCAGTTCTTCCGCTCCCACCCCCTCCCTCTGTGCAATCTGGCTGGGATACCCCACTTCCTGGGAGGTCCTAGTTAGTGAGGATGTGAGAGGCCCCTGAAGCCTGTCCTGCCTTCTCTGCTCATTTATTGTGGGGTCAGTGATGGATACAGCCGTGGGAGCTCCCCACCCTGCACGAGCTCCTCACCTCTGTCTCCCCATGACTCTTACGAACCTGCTACCCCTCTGGCAAGCCTCTCAGCCCCTCAGCACCTGCACCCTCCTGCTCTCCTCCCCACCCTGTGCCTCCAGAACCTCTTAAGATGAGAATAGTGAGTGAGAGGGGACAGTAGGCCCTGAGCTGTCAGGGACATAGAAGCTGAGACGTAGCAGACCCACTCCCTTCCCATCTACCTGCCTCCCATGAACCCACCTGCACTTCTGCCTGCCCGCTGCCTGCTTACTGCCTGTCTTGGAGGGGGGCTGCCAGGCTGGAGCGTGCATGAGGCTTTTGGGGCCTGAGAAACTAACTTTATTGGAGGCAGATGGTGTGGGACAGGGCTGATGGCTCCTATACATACACCTTCCACCTACCAACCCCATCTTTGTTTAGCTTTCAGAGTTAGTGGCCTTGCTGCAAGGAGCTCTGGTGGCATAGCATGTATTTGTGCCAGTTTGTTAACCAAAAGATCAGAGGTTCAAATCCACCAGATGCTTATCAAGAGAAAGATGGGAGCTGTTTCTTCCCATAAAGAGTTGCCATTTGGGAACCCCGAGGCGGTTCTGCAGTGACACCTGGTGGTCATAGAGTGCACTGCATGCCCTGCCCTCGAATGACTGGGCTGAACCAAAGCTTACACCTCTCATCTGAACAGAAAAATTGGGGCCTAACTCCACTCAGCAAATCACTGAACGAACACAGTCCTCACCCTGAGTGATCATAATTGAGGGAAGACAGCCAGGGGTAGCCCAGCTATGGACAGGACACTCCGTCACCTTTGAAGAGCCAGAAGAAAACTCTCACCCTACCTGGACATCAGGAAAGTCCTGCTGGAGGAGGCAGAGACCAGGATTGAGATCTGAAAGGTGCATTAGTTCAGCAAAGGATATTTAGAGAAGAAGCCACCATATATGCAAGCGTGTGCTGTGGAATCTAACTCATAGCTGACTCTCCAGTGGGTTTTCAGTGGCTGCAAATCACACAGAAAGAAATTGCTCATCTCTCTTCTGAGGCGCAGTTAGTGTATTCGAACCTCTTGCCTTTGGATTGCCAGCACAACTCCTTACCCACTAGGCCATCAGAGCTGGTTCTTCGTAAGCCAAGATCCACGCATCGGCTTCGTTATCTCGTCTCGAATCTCTTTTCATCCCAGCCAGGCCCTCCATCCTTTCTTCCTTTTCTTGATGTGATCTTCTTGGGATTGCCCCATAGTCTGGATTCTCCCATCATTGTCCCCCCTTTTGATGAGGATCCAGTTAGATACTCCCTAGGTGTCACTGGAGGAGGAGCCGGCGTCATATTATCGCATCTCATCAGCAGGCTCTCGTCAGCTTGTCTCACCATCCATCCCAGCAGTGGATTAATGTCACTTTTGAAGGTCATCCATTTTTTACCCCAGCATGCAGCCCATGGTGACCAGTGGTCAGCTGATAACCTGAAGGTATCCCAGTTGACATGACATGGCAGGACAGCTGGATCTGAAAAATCTCCACAAGGTCCCAGTGACTGGACTTCTTCAGTCATATGGAACAACCTCTCAGGGCTTCATATGTTTTTGGGACACAACTACTTTAATAGGTTGGATTATAATAGTACGAGCATCACCAGTGTGACTATTAATCATTACTTTTAAAAAAAAAAAGTTCAAACTCTTTGTTGTCGAGTTAGAATTTATTCCTAACTGACCCTCCAGCAGATTGTCAGAGGTTGTAAATCTCATGGAGAAAATTGCCCATCTTTCTACTACAGAGCATCTGGTGGATTCGAACCATCAGAGAGACCCCACTTTGGGGCTAACACAATGCAACTCCCTATGGGCTCTGCCACCAGAGCTCCTTTTGTTCAGTCTATTCAAAACATGTCTTGGCACAATGAGGTACCATCTCTCGCCAGTAACAGTAGCAAAGTTTAACACAGTAGCAAGTAATAAATGTTGGAGAGGATGTGGAGAGAAAAGAACTCTTATTCATTGTTGGTGGGATTGTAAAATGGTACAACCATTCTGAAAGACAGTTTGGCACTTCCTCAAAAAGCTGAACATAGAAATTCCATACGGCCCAGGTATTTCACTACTTGGAATATACCCTGAGAAAATGAGAACTGAGGCACAAACGGAGACTTGTACACCAGCGTTCATCATAAGAACATGGAAACAGCCCAGATGTCCAAACACAAATGAATGAATTGAGAAATTATGGTACATTCACACAATGGAATACTACTCAGCACGCAGGAGCAATGAGTCTGTAAATTATTGCCTAACTTGGAAGGGACTGGAGCGCATTATGCTGAGTGAACTAACTCAGTCCCACAAGGACAAATATTGTATAAAACCAATATTGTAGAATGAGTATAAGGACCAAGGGGGGTGGAAGCAGAGGGATGAGGATGTGCAGGGGGAGGGGGTATTTTTTTTAATTTATTATTAAATTTTATTAGTATCAATGAACATTCACAGGGATTCTGGGCTTTCACTCCTTCATTGCCGTACCATTCTCTCCACCCTCCTCCCCAGTTTGTTCTTCTTCCCCGCCATCCGAATGTCTGTTTTAATTGTCCTATTGCCACAGTGCTTGTCAAAGTCAGTTCTGATTAATCCGTGTGTCCTTTGCCATTCCCTATCACTCCTCCCTGAGAGAGACTTCACCGTGATTCATAAGGAAAAGGGGATGGCGTATTCTCTTAGCTACTTCCTGCTGAAAAGGGACGCTGTGGGTTTCAGGGTGAAGATCTTCTCTCACTACTCTAAAGGGCCCCTTTGGCAGTAGGAAACACATAGACTATTATGGAGATTGATTTTGGAATTTAGATGCACTCTTATTGATTGTGCTTGGCCATACATCTTCATATCCTTGAAGATGTATCATGGGGGTGTTGCAACCTAGAAGACACAAATTTGACTAACAAGTTATAAGTACTTGAGTCAAAAATTATGGAAAAGTAAAAGAAAAGATTCTTTCATTGTTTTACAAACCCTCCCCCAGGTCCCCTCCACCATGTAGCCCTTGCTCTAGACTCCTGTGATGACAGAAATACCTAGTTATATATCTCTTTTAAACAGTTTTCTCCCTCCTCTGTTTCAGTGCAGTATACATTATTGAACCCATCTTACTCAGTCTCTCCCCAACCCCAAGGACAGTCCCATTCTACAACAGTGGCATCATGTAATATTTGTCCTTTTGTGACTGGGATATTTCACTCAGCATAATGTTCTCCAGAGTCAACCATTTTGAATAATACTGCATGAGTTCCTTTTTTTTTAATGCAGCATAGTATTCCATTGTGCGAATATACCACAGCTTCTCTAGCCATTCGTTTGTTGATGGGCACTTAGGTTGTTTCCAACTCCTTGCTATTGTGAACAAAACTGCAATAAACATGGGTGTGCATATATCTGCTTGGATGTCAGCTATGGTCTCTTCAGGGTATATTCCCAGTAGTGGAATTGCTGGGTCAAATGGTATCTCTATTTGCAACTTTTTGAGAAAGCGCCATACTGCTTTCCACAGGGGTTGCACCATTTTACACTCCCACCAACAGTGAATCAGGGTTCCAGTTTCTCCACAACCTCGCCAGCATTTGTTGCTTGATGTTCTGTTAAATTTTGCTATTTTGACTGGGGTGAGATGCTATCTCATCGTTGTTTTAATGGGGAGGGGGTATTAATCATGGAGTTGTACAATTCGATCGAGGGGTGAGGGAAATTGGTAGAATCTGTCCTGGAAAACAATATATATGAATTTTGTAAATAAACTAGTATAATTAAAAAAAACCAAACCACCACATCTTGGGAAAAGTGCAGACAGAGTGCTCCTTAGAAGCAAAGATGGTAAGATTTCATCTCACATATTTTGAGCATGTTATCAAGAGGGAGCAATCCATGGAGAAGGACATCATGGTGGAAAAGTAGAGGTTTGGGGGGGAGATGAAGACCCTCAATGAAATGGAATGATTCAGTGGTTTCAGTAATGGGCCCCAGCATGACAATGATTGTAAGGATGTTGCAGGACTGGACAGGATTTTGTTCACTTGTACATTAAGTCACTATGAGTTGAAACAGACTCAACAGCACCTAACAACAGTGACCATAGGATACTAAGAAGACTTAAACTACTGCTGTCAGATCTGAAACGGGTCTATTTGCCATCCTGGAGTTATCTTTATTTTGGATTAGGAAGGAGTGAAGCATTGGCAAGACTGTAGCCCCTTTCCTTCTGCACAGACGTCAGAATCAACTTGACAGCAGCAGGTTGGGTTCTTTTTGGTAATGAGCTGTGGTGCTAGAGAAGAACACTGAGCATCCATCCCATGGACGACCAAAAGAACAAACAAATATGTCTTGGAGAGGGTACAGCCAAAGAGCTCTTTGGAGGCAAGAATGATGAGGCTTTGCCTCACATACTTTGGGCACGATGCTAGGAGGAGCTATTCCTTGGAGGAGGACATGATGCTGGGAAGTGTGGAGGGTCGGCGAAGGATTAGAAGACCCTCAACCAGGTTGATTAATGTGGTGACTGCAATGGGCTTTTGTGTGTCAGGAAGTGTGAGGATGTCACTAGATAGAACAGGTCTCAGATCTTTTGTTCAATACTCAACAGCACCTAACAACAACAACAACAGCAAGTGATTAAGGAAAGGAGCACTGGTGGCCTAGAGGGTAGAAGCTGCACTGCCATCCTGAAAGCACACAGTTCGAATCTACCATCTGTTCTACTGGAGAAGGATGGACAATCTCCTCCTGTGTCATTAACTGTCTCTGAAAACCCCCCCCCAGAGGGTCAGCTATGGGTCAGATCCCACTCAGTAGTACACAACAATAACAATTATTAAGGAAGAGTGAGGTTAAAGAATGCTAGGTAAATAAGAATACAGGTGACCTGCAGATGAGGCAAGAATCGTGCATCCAGCAGATAAGGGGACAGGTAGTCTGGTGGTGTAGGGAGAGGGCAGCCAGCTATGATCCATCAGGACCTGCTTCACCTGCCTGGTCATCTGTCCTTTCCTGGTCTCGTCCCAGCTGTCTGGGGCCCTGGGCTGTGGCAGGTGGTGTGGGGCTGCAGGTGCATGTCCTGGGTGGGGCATGAGCCACCAGCTGGTTTTGTGCAGGGTCCCCCTCCCCTGTCCCCTTCACGGCTGCATCTGTCTCTTTCCTCTGCAGGGGGAGGGGTTGCACCAGCTACGCGAGGCTTTGAAGATTTTAGCTGAGAGGGTTTTAATCTTGGAAACAATGATTGGGCTCTATGGTGAGTAGAGACAGACAGACGGACAGACAGCCCAGCCCCTGCCTGCCAGCCTTTCCCTGAGCCCTCCTGGGGTGGAGCTGGCCTGGGCCCAGTCGTGAGCTGGAGCAGGTGTCTGCTCCAGGCAAGAGGACTCCCCTCCCTCAATGGCTGGTCCCCTCCTCCACAGCTAAAGGAGGCCCTCGAGACCCAGGCCCCCACCCCTGTGGTCAGACCCAGGGCCTCCAGGCACTGTGGGTAATGTGCTTTCCAGGCCTGTGGGGGGGACCCAGAGGAAGAGATTTCAAGTCTGGGAGAATTTGTGGCCCAGGAAGCCCAACTCCAGACCAGCAGGGGATTGTGGGTAATAAGGGCAGAGCCCAAGCAAGCCTACACAGGAGGATTATGGGTCATGGATCCAGAGAGGCCTCAGAACTAGAGAAACTGAGACAGGCTGATGGGTCAGGGAATCAAAAAGTGCAGGCCCCAGAGGACTGTGAAAATAGACCAGTCACCAGTATGTGAATCCTTCCCCTGAAATAGGGCCTCCTAGCACCAGGTCTCCCACTTCAGTTTCCTCTCTGGTCCTCCTAAACCACCCGGGGCTCACTGTAAGGATCATGAGAGCCAGACCCTCACCCTGGCCTTCACCCAGCAGTCCTCCACCTTTGAGGAGCCAGGCAAGCTCTATCCCCGAGATCTCAATGGTGACTTTTGTCCAGTTGAGAGCTGGCACCCCTGCCCTTCGTCCTCCCCTCTGGTTCTCCCAGCCCTCGGAGGCTGGACGCGTACCGTCTGCTCTTCTCGATCTCCCATCAGGCTCCTAGCTTACAGAGCTTCCTGCAGCAGCAGGCTCAGCTGGAGCTCCTGGCCAGACGGGTCACCCTCCTGGAAGCCATCATCTGGCCAGGTAACGGCAGGGCGGGCAGGCAGGGGCAGCCCCTTCCAGGAAGGGCCTGGGAACTCGGAAGGTACCGCGCCGTGCTCAGCTCTGGCCAGTGGACACTCATCCTTCAGTCCTTCCATCCAGTGAAGGCACCAGTAATGAGTCCTTGAGTGACTGTGTAGCAGGCCCCTTGCTGGCCAGGCCCCAGCAGGTGACACAGAAACAACCCTCCCCTTGTGGGGTTTGTGACAGAGACAGAGAGAAAGCCTTACCATCAAAAGCGAGAAATAGTATGGTGGCCTGAGTACTGTCAGCAGCAGCACAGACCCAGGCTGGACAGGTAAGCTAAGCAGCTCCGGGAGGGCTTCCTGGAGGCAGTGATGCCTGAAAGAATACCAGCAATGTGAGGAGATGCTAGTCATCATTAACTGGGAGAGAGGAGAGAGGCACAAAGAACAAGAACGTGATCAAGGCCTGGGGGCCTGAGGAAGCCGAAAGGTAATGTTCCGTGAGTTTGCTGAGAGCTGGAGGTAAGAGAGAAGGTGATATGGTCCAGACTGAGAAGGTTGAGGCCTGGATGGAAGGCCAGATTCAGGGCCAGCAGCACTCCTGGGTGGTTGAGAGATGAGATCACAGGAGCCTCTGGAGGCCTCTCCCCCTAAATTGGAGCTGGAAGGAGACAGCCCCCTTCACCCACCTCCCCCAGTCATCCTATCTCAGCCTGTCCCACCCTGTATCAGAGCATAGAGGCCTTGGACCTCATGGCCAACCTTGAGCCCATTTTACAGCTGGGGAAACCAAGGCCTGAAGCAGGAAGAAGAGGCCAGGCTACAGCCAAGCCTCCTTCATTCAGCGCACTATAAGAAATGTCTACTGAGTTCCAGGTCTAGGTAGACCTACGGCCCAGATAGTCACTGGGTCCCCACCTTGGGGAGCTGCCTGTCTTGGGAATGGTGATATCTATAGCCAAGGTGGCTCCGAGGTACAGGAGTGCTAAAGGATAATCGGGTGAGGTTGCACTCCTGGCTGGATGGTGGAAAAGCCTTCTTGGACAATTCATGGAGGACCCTAGCAGTGTACTAGGCAAAGATGTGAGGGGCCCCTGAGGGAGGAGGCCAACCTCCTCTCACACACCACCTGGCTCCTCTCAATTCCAGAAGCATCTGTACCATCCCCCTGACCACCTTTCTCACATGGGTGGGATCAAGGCTCTTGGCACCTTGTGGCACCCTTGTCTTTGAGGGGGACTGGAGCAGGAGCTAGCAGGGACCCAGCCCGTGTGACCCTGGATCTGCTGCCACACAGTGGCACCAGGCAGCCGTTAAGGTCCCATCCACTCTCCATAGGCAGGATCTGAGAGACTGGCCCCTGAACCAGCTAGGAATGAGATATTAGAACGGGAGAACAGGTCCCAGGTTATAGCAGGTACTCTCTAAAGACCCAGGCGGGCTCACACTGAGTTCTTAATTGACAATGGTGACAGTTGTCATGGAGAATGTGCACTGAGCATCTCCAAGCTTGTAAGCTTGTCGGGTGGGCTCAACGATGCTCCTATTGCTGGTGAAGAAGCGGAGGATCAGAGAGCTGACAGGACTCTCAGGGCCACGGAGAGTGCAGCACGAAGGCCAGGATCCTTTCCCAGTTGGAAAGCAGTGGCTCTCCTGGCTTTGTTAGCAAAGGTTTACTAGATGCCTCCTTCAGGCCAGGTATAGACCGAGACTCTAGGGAAGCGAGGAGCCAGATTTTGGAAGCAGAGGAGCCAGAATTTGATCCAATCAAAACAGTTATCTAGTGGACAGCTCACAATGGGTAAAACTGTGAAAGACCGGTGGTGACAAAGCCACAGCGACACCCTCACCAGAATCATCCAGGAGTTACTGTGACAACCGCATTCCATCCCTTGGTTCCCCAGATCCCAGACTACAAAGGTTTGGTGAGGGACAATGACCTGTATATTTCAGGTTATGGTTAAAAGATACTGTGATTGTCCAAGACCTCATAAGGGAGTATTCACTTGGCCCTGGCTAACTTTAGAGGCTGGGTCTTTGGTATCCTCCTCCTGGGCCCCGCTAAGTTGAGGCCTTCAAAGGAACCACATACTCCCTTCTGCCCCAAGGCCTCAAGTCCCATCCAGAGTTGTGTGGTGGCTGCTTTGGGCTGTTCAACGGTATAGGCCATTCCACGGCCATGGCCTCAGTGAGAAGTGCCCACCAGAATCCAAGTATTTTTCCTGTCAACATAGATTGGGAGGCTCATCCATGTCTACATTGGGGTTTTCCTCAAGTATCCTTCTCCCTCTAGAAAAAGAGCTCTTTTATGAACTGTTCCTTTAACTTTGGGGGAGAATGAAGTAGAAGTCACAGAAGGCTTCCCCATGGAGGTAGCTCCCATGATGGGTTTTGAAGGGTGAGTAGGAGTTTTCTAGCTGGCCAGAATGTCCATTAACCGCAGTGTCCCTCTCAGGGGCCAGCTTATTTCCAGTCTGGTGTGTATGTCACTGTAGGCCCTTTGACACTGACTGGAACCATCCACTACTTTTAAAAGAGGTAAGATGCCAAGGCCCTGGCAGGAGACTGACTTGCTCAAGATCACAAAACAGTTCAGTGGTACAGGAGGCCTTTCTGAGCCCTTTTCCCCCACAGGCAGCATAGCCCATGGAGAGAGGGAGAGTGAGGCCTCAGTTTACCTTAGCTGTGAAATGGGGATAATTCAAGGTATACATTTACCCCAAAATGAATAACAGAAAAAAAAGAGATTTTGCCTTTATGAAGTATTTACCAAGTGCTAACCATTTCATAAGCATGGTGGGTCTTAAGAAGAGAAGGAATCAGGCAAGGCCCCGCATGCTCTGGCTGGGCTGGGGGGACGAGACACTAACCAGCCTGTGGACCTTCTTTCCCACAGCTCTGCCATCTGGACACACACGCAGCAGAGGGTGTCCAGTCCCGCACCCCCCTCAGAGGGCCAAGGGGAGGTGGGCACCCCTCCTGGACCCCCACTAACACAGCCTCTCTCCTTCCCTCCGGCAGAACCAGAGCTGGGATCTGGGGCAGGCCCTGCCGGCACGGGCATCCCCAGTCTGCTTCGGGGCAAGAGGGCAGGACACACGGCCAACTACCGGATTGTGACCCCCAAGAGCCGAAACGAGAGTGGTTGAGGATGGTGGTGGCCCCTCAGCGAGGGCCGAGCTGGCCCCCTCCAAGAACCGTCTGCTTGTATTTATTGATGCCCTGGGCCTCCCTTGTGCCACCGAGGCCTTTAGGGCAGGCAGGTCTCTGCCCTAGTCCCCTCTGTGGCTGAGCAGGGACACATGCTGAAGAGGGAAAGAGTGACCCAGGTGTGAGACAAAGCCACCCTTGGGGTCCTGGACCTCAACTACCCTCTGTAAAATGGGCCTGCAAAGAAAGGGTACCAGGGACAAAGTTTCCTGTCTTCTCATCAGCATCCTGGCATCCAAGCCTGCAGGCCCCAAGGGGGTCAGGGACTCCAGCCCTCAGCATTCAAAAAAGGATTAATGGGAGAAGGGCATGGTTGTACTCCTCCTCCCCTCCAGCCAAGCCTCAGAAGCCCATCTGCACCCCTCTTGTCCCTTTTTTCTGGTGCTGGGCTCCCAACCCCGAAGTAAGGCTGTCCTTGGCCTTTAACTGGAGGGTTGGGACCTCCTTGCCTCCCTTCTGCACCCCTGCCTGCTCCCAGCCCTTCTTAAGCATCCCAGTGGTGTGAGGACATGGGAGAGGGACAGGCCACCTGCTCCCATAAACACTTGTGACAAATGGGAGATGTGTCCTGGCCAATAAAGGCCCCCCAGCCTTTTGCTCACCCCTTAGCCTGGTCTCAGTGTGTGTTTAGATGGGTTCCTGCTCCTGCCAGTGTCTCCGTGGCCTTCACTCTCCACCAGAGGGGGCTGGAGACAAGGGGGGAGCAAGTGAGTAGAGAGAGGTCACCAGGTGTCATTGGCTTTGGAACTTGGCTTATTGAGGGGCCTGTTTTTCAGGTGAAGCCAGCCAGGGAGCAAGGAGCTGCCACAAACTTCAGGACAGCTTCTCAACTGAGTGTGACAAAGCTTTGACTCTCAGCCTCAGTTTCCTTCTCTGTCAAATGGGACTATTAGTGCCCTTTGAAGAATCAAGAGATTTCTAGCCTGCTTCCAGCCACCTCCCTTCCCACAGGAGACAGACCTTCTCTGTTCCCTGCACCTCCTCCTGGGTTCTCACATGAGGTACAGACATTCCCCTCCCCCAACATAGACGCACAGCAAGATGTGCAGCCCCTAATGCAGCCACTCCCTTGAAGCCAGCTTTCTGGGCTCCCTCTAAACCCAACCTCAGTAAACTCAAGTTCTCTGATATCTATGCCCCACAGCCCTGCCTGAAGGAGCCCCTCCACCACCACACCCTACCCCTCACTTCCTGCCACCGAGCCCACTCTGGACCAGGCCCACGGACACGGCTGAGTCAGCCCTGCTCAGTCAAGAGAAGACATTGTTGCAGAATCCAGGAAGGCTTCCTGGAGGTAGAAGGTAGCTGGCAAACAAGTGATGGAGGAATTCATGCCCATTGGCAAAGAGTCCAGGCCACAGAGGCCAGCACTGAGGGGAGGGCGGCACTGCCCAGGCAGGTGCAGGAGTTGTTTGGGTGGCTCTCTACATTCATTCATTCTAATGCCAATACAGAGAACCCCCAAGGAGATCCAAGTTTTTAAAAAATCTGGTTTTTATTCTTCTCAAGTGTCAGGATGTGGTGGTCCACAAGAGCAGGGGTCAGGGTCAGCGTGCAGGGTCAGGTCTTGTGTCACAGGCAGATCTTCCCTGCCCTCTGCCTGAGCGAGGGGGGCTGTGGCCCTCGGGGTGGGAAGGCTGGCCCTTCCCCTCTGTGACCAGGGCCTCAGCCCCCACCTGCCCGCCAACCAGCAGTGACACGGCCCCTTCCACGCGGCCTGTGGCTGCCAGCGCCACCACTGCCTGCTCTGTGGGGAAACCCATGCGTTCCAGCTGCTGCAGCCTGGGGTAGAGGCAACAGAGAGGGAGTGTCAGAGCTGCCCTGACCCCCTCCCCAGATGAGGCCCCAGCCTGGCCCACCCTTTACCTCAAAGAGGAGACTGAGGACTTAGACAGCCACAGTGGATTCTCAGGCCCCTGGGCTGTCCCCTCCAGGAGGGAAGCCTGGAGCCCCGCCTGCAGCATCTGCTCATCCAGCGACATCCACAGTTGGGGGTCCAGGGGGAAGCTAGGCCTGGCCTCTGAAAAGCCCTCCCAGGTGGGCTGCACAGTCCCCAGATTGGGCAGAAGCGGGACTGCTACATCACTGTAGGGCCAGAGGCTAGCGGAGGTCGCGTGAGGAGGTCCAGGAGCCCTGGAAGGACGGAGGAGGGATCTGGCTGCCGGCCGCCACCAAGCTCCTGCCATCAGGGCCAGCATCCTCCACATCACCCTCCTGCCTGTGGCAGACTCACCTCGCACCAGGAGGATGGGTGACAGGCAGCTCAGCCAAGCTGCCTTGGGCAGGAAGGAGCCTCAGTGGCCAGCTCCTTGCCAGAGCCCTGCACATGGCACCCTCCTGCAGGGCCTGCAGCCGCCGCTCTGACAGCTCGAGCCAGTGGAAGGCCCCTACTGCATCTGTCTGCCCAGAGCAGGGCGGCTGGTCAAGGTCAACCGAGGTGGAGGTGCAGGGCCGTAAACCTGTGCAAGTATGGGTCCTCAGTCCAGTTAGCGGGGGCTCAGCTAAAAAGGGACCTGCCCACCATTCCCCTAAGAGTGAGAGATGCTAGTATGCAAGATACCAAGCTTGGACTCATCTCAGCCTCACCTCCAGCCACTCTGACTTCAGTTGTCCCCAAAGCCCCTCTCCGTGCCCAGGCAGGCCAGCTCCATCCCCAGGATTCAGACAGGCCTGGGCAGCTGGTGGAGCTCAAGAGTCTCATTTAAAATAGGAAGGACCTCAGGGTCTGGTTGCATCATCTTCTCCAACAGACATTAATCATCCTCAGAGCAAAAGCCATGGCAAGCCACAGGGAGTTTTAGCTCCCTGAGCTTATTCTGCCATGCTCATGCCAGCCTTTGGCCTTACAGTGCCCCCTGCTGGCCACACTCTCCTTTTTCTCTTCATTCCACCACTCACCTCCTCTAGGTAACCTTGGTCACCACCCCTTCTAGGAAGCCTTCTTGGATCATATCTGGGGTAGTACCTCCTTAGGCAGCCCGAACACTCCCAGGCTCCCCACAGAACTCGCTAAATGGTAAACAGCCCCTCCTCCCTGGCCCTGCACACCCCAGCCCCAGCCCAGAGGACTTACAGATGCTTCTGGAATGTGTGTGTGCATTGCTTGGGTCTGACTGCTCCTTGTGCCATTCCCTCCCTAGGTCCCCCTGGAACCCACACTTCCCACAGTCCCTAGGCCCCAGGTAAAGGATACAGGCCAGGCCGGCCAGAAGGCCGCAGAGAAGCTGAAGGAAGGGGGGCTCGGAGCTCAGCAGCGGGGTCAGGCACAAGAGCAGCCATGGCAACAGCCACTGTGGCAGTGCCCCTCAGGGCCGTCCAGGGTATTGGCTCAGCCTTGCCAGCATGCCCAGGTGGATGGGCATGTATCCGCAGCCGCCGGCCACACCGGGCACCCCGAGGCCCGCCAGCAGCACAGCCAGCAGCCCAGCGGCCACGGTGAGCAGGGCCGACACATGCAAGAACCGCAGGGTGCCCAGCTGCTGCTCCTGCTGCCAGCCCAGTGTGCCCAGGAGCAGCAGGCTCAGGAGCAGGCTGGGCAGGGTCACGTGGCCCAGGGCATGGGTTAACAGCCTGTGCGCTGGAGAAGAGAAAGGGCCAGGATGTGGGGTTTACCCACCAACAGGGCCACCCAAAGAGCCTCCCTCCTGGAGAGAGATTCTGCCCAATCAATCAGAGGAGGGCCATGGTCACCTTCACCGAGGGCCACCCACCTGCTGTGTTTCCAGGAGGAACCACAGGAACAGCAAGCACTATGATAATGACAGAACCTGATCCTTCCCAGGGCTCTGATAAGACTTCCCTCTGGGATGACTTCCCTCTGATAAGACTTTAACTCTGGGCTCCACCTCCCTGGCTGTGTGACCTGGGACATGTCACTTAACCTCTCTGAGCATCACTTGGTCCTCTCAGATGCCAGCTCTAGCTGTTGTGATTGTTGGAAAGCAGGGGCTCAGATGAGGCCCCCAGTTACTTCATGATGAAAGGGAGGCTGCCAGAAAAGAATTCCCACCCATGAGCTCCCATCCTCTAGCCCTCTGCCCTCCCTTCTTGCCTGGCACGCTCCCATCCAAGGCTTCACCAGGGATCTGGGTCTCCTCCCCTTGTGGCCACTCTCTCCAGGGACTTCTGTGACCTCCCCAAGCACACCATGACCTTATCTCATGCAGCCACCACCCATGTCTCTGCTCCTCTTTCAAGTTAAATAGCTGCCTCTCTCACCCCCGCCATGTGTTAAAAGTCACCAGTGTGACCAGGTGCAAACCAGATCTGTGCCATCTCACACCCAACAGCCACCTAACACCTGTGTCCAAAGGGGCCTCTCAGATTTCACTTGCCTGCAACCAAACCTTCTATATTCTTCCAAAACTGCCCCCCCACAAGCGCCCCCCATCCTGCAGTTGCTCTGGCCTCAAACACCTCCCCTTTGCCCTCACATCCAACATCTGAGTGAGGTGTCAACCCTGTCAGCCTCATCCTCTAAATACATCTGTGGCAAAGATCTCACACCAGCATCTTTCCCTCACTGGGCTGCTGGCGTCCACCTCTGACTCCCCTTTCAGTCTATTCCTCGCTCAGAGGGGCCCACATCACTGCCCTCTCAAAGCCCTTCCAACAGCCTTAAATGCCCTCAAAGTCCTCAAGAGTCTACACACCCGCCCGGCACTCCTATCAACCCTGGTCTTACGCAGTTATCGCAAAGACAGAAGTGCTCCCAGTTTGCTCTGCTGTTTGCCCACCTGGAATTCTCTCCCTCTGAAGGCTGGCAGGTGTTGTTAATCCCTGCATGGCTCTGCCTTGTATCACTCTCTCACAAAGGCCTTCCAGAACCACCCTATCACACCATCCCCACTCTGCTTCACTTGCATGTATCAGCTCCTGACCTCCTAGGCATTCATTTGTTCACACATCTCCCCCTTGCAGATTGCCAGTGTCATGCAAACAAGGCCCCTGCTCTGTTCATTGTCAAATCCTCAGCACTGAGAACCATGTGTATACATCAGGAGCCAGGAGCGATGTGTGTACAGTGTACATAGGAAGTGCTTGATGAATATTCGCCAGTGGACAGAATGAATGGATGGAGAAGGACTTATCAAATGGGGTTTTGTGTTATATAGTCACTCGGGCCTGTTTGGGCAGCTCTATTGACATGCCCTCAATAAAAGACGAGCTGTTACTATAACTCCAGCTTGGCAAGTGAGGAAATTGAGGCCCAGAGAGGGCAAGTGACTTGACTGGTCTGGTCCCACTGCCCACCTCTGTAAGGCCCACGTGGCCCTCACCCTGCCAAGGTTCCAGTAGCAGCTCTGGGGCCAGGGTCAGGCTGGGGCCGGCCCCCATCAGCCAGAGACCACTCATCAGAAGCATCAGAGTGGAGGACATGAGAGGCAGGGCTGGGGGCAGTGGGCCAGGGCGGCCCTGGGCATGCATGGTGAGAGCAGTCCTGGCGCTGTACCCTGGGATAAAAGAAAACAGCAGAGGTTACTATCAAGCTCTTTATCTCACTGACTCCCTCTCACTCACCTAACTAATGAATGACCTCATTGCATAGAAGTGCAAGCTGAGGCCAAAGCGGTAAACCAAGCAGCTTGGTTATGGCACTTTGGACCCTAAATCACGGGGCCAGGCCCACAAAGCTCTGAGAGCCCAGGGGCCTTGGCATGAGAGATGAACTGAGGCGTTGGGCCCCCAAAAAGAGGGGTGCCAAGCCCCATAGCAAACGCAGTGCCATCTCTGCCCCCCATTCCCTTAGGCCAGCTCCGTAGCTGGCTCGCCACTTTCCTCCCTCCTCCCCTCCACGGGGCCCACATTTAGGCCATGTGGCCCAAGGCCATCTGGCCCAACCTGGAGGCTCAAGGATGCCCTTGACCGTGGGGGACAGGGCCTGCAAGGAAGACTGCAAAGCCCGACAACCAATAAAGGAGCAGATTGGTGGAGGGGCGGGGATGTGGGAGGGACAACAGGGAGTGCTCATCCCCTGCGCAGATACAAAGTAACATTGGACAGGAGCCACCCTCCTCCTCTCTGGGTCCCAGGCCAGCCTCTCTTACCCAGCCCACTTTCCCGGGAGGTTTCAGGCTCTCTTCGGCCTCCTTCGGCTGGGTGTCCCTGGGCAAGTTTCCCAACCTCTGAGCTTCTCCTTCCTCATCTGTAAAATGGGGATTAAGAAATTGCTTTCTTCACCAGGTGATGAGAAAAAGGTATGCCCCTACAAACACCTGGTCCTGTTAATTGTGGAAGGTGGAAGTAGACACCAGCGGGCCAGCCAGACTTCCTGTCCCAGACTCGCTGATCTGAGCCTTTGCTCTCAAACGTGGCCATTCATGCCCACAAGGAGGGCTTTCTCATCCTTGTTGAGTTGTCTCCTCTCCCATTAAGCCTGCTGTCTAGGATGGGAGTCCGGCCCCCTATAGGGTAGAAAGTAGGACCTCAAAGAGATAAGAAGGTTGCTTCACCCTTGTCAAGGGCATATTCATCAGCAACCCCCGCTGCGAGTTACCAGTAAGAAAACTATGGAAGGCCCTTTACCTGCACTGTTATTTCCTCCATTTCTCTAACAGGCAAACACTCCTATTCAACCTGCGAAGCCCAGCTCAAATGACCCTTACTCTTTCTCACTATATATTTTACCCTATCTTATAAGCATTTTCCAGGGCAGATATTTTTAGTTCTCGGAGGGGCCTCTTGTACATCTCCAAGTTATGCAGAATATTCCTAGCACACTGCTGGAGAATCATCTGTGCTACTGAAAGACATCTGTGCCCTCCCTACAGAGCTGGTCCTTTCTAGGAAGACCCCCAAGGAAGCCTATTATTCTGCACTACCCTGTTCCAAGGGAGAGTGAAGAACTTGCTCATGGACACCCCAAAATACCACGTGACCCCTCTGTGCCTCAGTTTCTTCATTTACACAAAAGAGCTGTCCATGATCAGGTTCTAACTACCTTACTGGGAAGTCAGCACAGAGTGGGAAGACAAGTCAGGGAAGATTCTTCTGGGTGGTGGTAAAAAGAAGGACCCCGGGTCTGGGTTCGACTCTGCTTCGTAACTTTGGGCAAAATACTGAACTTCCTTGAGCCTCAGTTTCCCTTACTGTAAAAAGGATGAAGGGTGATTAAGGGACCTTCTCAACGTCAACCGTTACTGGGGGGTGGTTCTCGGAGCCGGGCGTGGCGTTCGGGAGGAGGGGGGGCTCTCACCCAGCCGACTGGCCACAGACCCCTCCCCCGCCGCCTTGGCCACGCGTCCGGGGTACTCACTGCGGAGCGCGGCCCCCTACCCCCGGAAGGCCGATCGGGGCCCCAGTTGGCAGTCGGGCTTCTAACTCCCTACAGAGGCCCAGGCACCCCAGCTTAATCCGCACACACACAGGCAGTGACCCCGGCCGGCCACCGGGACGCCCCCTCCCCCGCCACTTGCTGATTAGTCAGCAGTTGTTTTAGGCCCCGGGTCCCTTCCCCCAGCCCTCCCTCCGGCCTCCGTTTCCCTCCAGGGTAGACTCTTCTGAGACGGTCCCTAGAGCCAGCGGACGAAACCATTACTAACAATCTGGCATAGTGCGGAGAGTCGCTTAATTTGATACCGAGACCCGCTCGCCGGCACCCCTGACATTTCTAGTGATATTCAACCCCGCGCGTCATTGCGATCATCGCTCTTTATAGAGGATTGAGACAAGAGTTGCAGAAGCGAACAACGGAAAAGCGATGGTTCACCCCTCCTCGGCCCGCCCCCGTGGGCTGGCCCAATGGTAGCGCCCGAAGTTGCGCGCTTTGCGCCTGCGCAGTGCTGGCCTAGAGGAAAAGCGAGAGGGAGACGGACGTTGAGAGAACGAGGAGGAAGGCGAGAAAATGGCGTCCACGGGTGAGTGTAGTGGAACCGTGTTCGTGCTGGCGACGGCTGGGACGCCCAGATGGAGGGGGCGTTTGCTCCTGGGGGTGACCAGGTCTACTGAGTGGAGTTGCCGAGAGGGGTTTTGATGAACCCTCCGCGGCCGGACGGGCTCCAGCGCTCCCGTTCCTTTCCCCTCCCCCAATCGGGCGGGCCGGTTCTGGAACCTTCGGGCCCCCCCGGAGCGCAGGGGGTTCGCGGTAGCGCGCGGCTGCGGGGCCGCGCGGCCCCCGCCGAGGCCTCCATTGTGTGGCGGCGGTCGGGGCCCCGCGCTTCGGGCCTCCCGCCACGTGGGCGGGGCCTGCAGCCTCCAGGGCCGGTGTGGGGGAGGGGGCCCGACCGGGCCTCGATCCCAGCACCCCGAATTCCTGGGCGGGAGGCGGGCGACCCGGGCCGTGAGTGACGCAGCCGAGAGCGTGTTGCCGTTATCATTTCATTTCCCTTGCTTGCCCGAAGGGCGACTCTTTTCGCGGAGACGCCTTGGGGGCGGGGGGGGCGGGGGATGAAGCCTGCAAACAAAAAAGGCTTCGCAGGTTTGCGAGC